GTTTTTAATCAACCTTGGTACAAATGACGGGAAAGAAAATTTTTTGACAACTAATAAATGTGTTAATGATTTAAATAAATTAATAATTGATTATTTAGCCGATGATTCGGTTAAAAGTTTAAGAGAACGTCATTTTGGTGCTACGTTCAATACATTGAAGTTAATTGCTCGTAAAGAGGGTCTTATAGGACTTTATCGTGGCGTTTCACCAAATTTGGCTGGTTCAGCGGCTAGTTGGGGATTTTATTTTTATTGGTAAGGAAGTATACCAGATCATTGGTAGGTTTATTATCCATATCAAGAGTGTTTTAATATATCAAGTGTTTAAGGGGAGTGTCGTTTATTATGAGATTTTTTATCATGAACAAATGGGTAAATTGATTATCTCTCATAATACATGATTGATCAAAATTTTAATAAATGGCATTCTCCTTACTAACGATCAATTTAATATCATATTTGATTACAACTTAGGTACGATTTAATAAAGCGATGGATGGCTGATGGTGATAAATTAACGAAACTTTCCGCTGCGCAACATTTATTAGCATCTGCTGAGGCAGGTAATTATGATTATTGGTAAATAAATCAGAGAGGATAAATTTTGTTAAAATTGCTTTTAATCTGGATATTATGTAATCATTTAACAAGGTGCCATAACGGTTTTCATGACAAATCCATTTTGGGTGGTTAAAACACGGATGTGCGTTACAAGTCGTAAGGATCCGGATGCATATAAAGGATTGATAGGTAATAATTATTCATCCTTTTAGGGCCTACAAATATCAGCTCATTATAACCAATTTCTCTAATACTTTCTTTTAATTATCGGTTAGTTATTATCATTTGGCAAAATCTTGATGAAAGGAAGGTGGGAGCTGTAATGAGCTGATATTAGTCAATACCTTATTCATCTAACATAAATATTAACCCTTAAAATTTTATATCATGTATTATTATTTAAAGATGGTCTGTACCAAATAGCAAAGTATGAGGGAATTCGTGGCCTATATAAAGGGTTGGTTCCAGGATTATTAGGAGTTTCTAATGGAGCTGTACATTTTATGTTTTACGAGGAAATGAAAAAGTGGAGATTAAAAATTGCTCCTGGAAAAGATCGTGAACGGTTGGTAAGCTTTATTCACGTTTTGTTTATCATTCACCTAATTTCAACCTTTTTTCATGTAACCTAATAATAATGTTTTCTTCATTTTGAGGACAACGTTGAATATATTTTAGTGGCTGGGTCTTCGAAAACAATAGCTATTGTGGCAACATATCCATATCAACTAATTCGCACACGATTAAATAATCAAAAATTTGTTATCAAATATAATGGTGTAATTGACGCGATAAAAAAAAATTTACAGGTAATATGAAAAGTTTGTGTCTTAAAATCAATTTATATTCTAACTAACTTTTATTTTAAAAGTGCTGAAGGGTTTTTAGGATTTTATAAAGGTTTGGCTCCAAATATTTTGAGAGTTCTTCCAAGCACTTGTACAACACTTTTAGTTTATGAAAATATGAGTGCATTTTTTAGGAAGCACGCAAGATTTAATGAGTAATCACTGATTTTATGTGGTAAGCAATTCATAAAATTAGTGAATTCTGATGCTGTAATATTCAAAGAAAGGGATCGACGCCTATTATTATATAGTGGTAATTGAGAGGTTACTAATGGTGATTTTTTAGGAATGGTTTGTTAAATTTAGTTTAAATAAAGTGTGTGAAATTTTGCAATTTAATATATTAAAGATTAAAACCGGATGTAAATTTATTACCTGGGCCACCCGTATGGCTATGAAGTTGTGTACTTAATTGAAAATAGGTTGCATATTGCCTGAGATTACCAAAGTTAATTTTTTTTGTTCATATAGCATATATATATATATAATAAAAGCGTAAATATAGACAATTTTTTTAAAGTTTTGCAATTTTTGACCCGGCTGGGTTATAAGAACCAATTTATTAAATTTGTATATCAACTGTCAAACGTGAATTTATTATTTACACAACTATCGATAAAAATAGTAAATTTAAAATATTTTGCAAATGATTTAATAAGCATACACTGTTTAAAATTAATTAGTTCTGTTATGTCTCCGATTAATAGTATCATTCGTGTCATTACTGAGTATATATCAGAACTAATAGAAATATTAGCAAGTTGATATGGGATCTTTGCTAGGAAAATGACCTTCCGATGCTATGTTGATTTTGTGAATAGAATTAAATATGCCGTCCATCTAGTCATTCAATTCGAATGATCTTTTTTTTTTATTTTGTAGAGCTTATTTAGCACCACAAAATAAAAAAGGTTCATTCAAATTGGATAACTAGATGGTTGGCAAATTTAATTTTTTTATTCACATATCCTCGGAGGGTCATTTTACTAGCAAAAATACCATATAGTTATTAGTTTGTTAATAGCTTTATTAGTTTAAGCAATTTGATTTAAGATACAGGTTAGTACTAGCTAGTTGTGATAGCAGACTGGCTTGAAATATAGGCCAAAAAATGGAATCTTAGATATATTAAACAAAAACACCAATTAAAGAAGGTTGCAATTAAGTATAGTAAAATATATAAGTAATTAGATATAATAAGTTGAAAAACAAAAAATTTTTTTAAACAAAAAACAAAAACTCTTTCTGTTGATTCTCTGTACACAAATTTGCAGAAACAAAAATCTAATAAAAACACATAAAGGTTATTAAGAAACTAAACTTGTAGCTCTAAAAAAAAAGGAAGATATAAAGAATACTCAGTCTTTAAAAAATTTGAGTAAGAAGAGCAAAAGCAGCAAAGATATAGAAGAAAATATAAAAAATCATCAATAATTTTTGCTATTTGCAAGTTTCTTAGAAATTCAGTCTTGAAGATCTATTTTAGTTATACAAAATTCACAACATATAATAAGAAATAAACAAAAAAATACATATCAAAAACTACATGATAAATAAAAACAAAGGAGATATACAAACACAACAAACAAAAAGTTATATAAAACAAACAACAAAAAAATTTCTGAAAAAATGCTTAGTATAGCAAAAGAAGCAAAGATACTTTCTAAAAAATTAAGACAATATAAGGCAGAAGAACTCAATGATACATAAAAAAAATAATATAAAATATCAAAAAACAATATAAATTAGAACTAATCTAGTTAAACATATTATATATGAGAAAATGAACAAAACTATAAGAGATTTATATATCAGTCACATGATATATTACATTTAACTGTTTTTTTTTTTGATATTAAGGTGGCCTCTTAGTCATGTTTCTTTTATTCAGTTATTAGTTAACTTTACTATATGCTAAGTATACAGTATACATATTTGGAGAGTACATACTAGCCATACGTATAACTTTTGGTTGTCTAATTAAGTAGTTCACTTATTACTAAGTTCTACACTAGATGCTATATCTATAACCTGACTAGAGAGTTATCTATTTAAATCCTCTGCACCTATGGGGTTAACCTATAATCGAGTAGGAATACTTTGTATCCTCTTATTTTTAGATACTGATTTAAAACTTTAAGACAGATTTTTTTCATGAAGAGCCTTTTATCCTTGAGACAAATCTGCTAGAGCTTTCTATACCCACAATCTGATTAATCTAGACTTCAGTAACTTACACCGAGTTTGAGAACAAGTATTTGCAAGCTGAAACCACTACCATTATCTACTTTCTGCCCTTGTAGAATTCACTCAGACCTCAGTATCTATTTTACAGATTATTAGAAGTACTTCCCAGATTTCAAACTACCAATCCAGATGGCCTAAGAGGAATTTAATTATTGTCTTCTGGTATCTGCAATTAAGCAGATCCTTTTCCTCTAGTTCTGGTAGCCTGGTTGATGGAAGTG